TTTAGAAAAATTAACATTTTGTTGGAATTTTCATAATTGGGTCCAAGTGTCATATACGTGCTCAGGTATGTTTAATGAGGTTCTGCAGATGCCTGCATAATGCTAAATGCTAATCTATTATGCACTTATATTCAGATTCAAGAATTGGTACATTTCTATAAGTTCTGTATCAAAAACCTACAAGGTTCAGGTTCTTTGTTTAAATATTTAAATATTTGTATAAATGTAAATATGAAATGTCTATAAAAAAATTGTGCGTATATCTTTTCAAATTTTATAATTTTGATACGTACTTATGAAGAACCTTGCATTACATATTCAAGTCTTAGCTATAAAAATTAAACATATCCTAAATTTTTAACTACAAAAGTATAAAATAATAATTTGCAAATGTTCGTGAATCTTGTCAAAATTTTAAATTCAAATGCCTATAAAAAAAATCGTGCTACTTAATATCGAGTATCTTTAATTTATTTTAATTTTTTTAAATATTATTACATTTTCTATTAAAAAAAGTTTTAAAAAAATTTTCACCCATCATGGTCAAATAAATACATTGGACACTATGCTTGGAACCGAAAACAAAAAACAAACTAGGCTGTCCAAGGAAAAAATTGATCATCAAAGCCAATAGATGGCGCGCCAAGTGTGATTGTCCAGTATATCAGCCAGTCCACTAACACTCAGCTGATGTGGTCTTTGTTTAAAAAATCCGAGAATAAACAGTTTGCTCAAGTAGACCTAACAAATTTACACTAGGTTATTATTTATTAACCATTAACCATAACATATCCAATCTACGACATTTTTTAATATGCACTGGGCAGGCCTCCACTTATACCGCCCACTGAGATCTTTCGTCAAATTATTTACTGTTTTTTATAAATGTTTTTAATATGCAATCAAAATGCTACAACAATATCGTGTTTTGACATACATATATTTCCAATAATAATACAATTTTATTGGTTAGTACTTATAGCAACAGCACTTTACTGGTTTTATAATAATAATTAATACTAGAAATATATAATGAAATATCTTCAGAAATATAGGCTGACAAACAGTCTCTGCCAATAATGGTTTTTGCATACAATTGTATGAGATCAAAGTATTCAAACTTAACACCTCCATTACAGTGACCTACTCAATAACCGAGGTACGCTTGGCACCCACCTTGACCCACTGCAACAGAGATCTTACGCCTACGGTTCGTTAGAATTTAATTTGAATATTATACCTATTTGTTATTGTTCAATTTTTTTCACAATTTGAATTCTGAATTAAACTAATTAATTTGATTATTCAATAAAGAAATGAAAATGTTTTTGATTCTGAGAGAAATGATTACACGATTTGTATTTTTTTGTATCTGTCATCGCCGCTTGGAGCAGTAAAAATGCTTAAACTGGGAGTAGTTTTTTGTGACAAATTGGATCTAGTTGGTAGGTATTTTAAATTGTAGAGGTCTGCAAAAATAAAAAATTCAAAAAAACAAAAAAATAAATAAAAATAGGTATTCTAAAAAAAATATCTATTGTAGACTTGACATGTTCACAGAATATTCCAATTAGCATTTATTCAAAATAATTTTGGTCATTTTGTAATATTTATAGGTATTTAAAATGACCGACTTTTTTCAGTTTTTTTTTTCGTTTGACTGTACTACAACAGTTTTTGTTTTTAAATTAAAAAGGGCTTGAAAATGTAGTACAAAGCATAATTTGTTTATACAGCAATTCAAAAATATCAAAAACACATAGTTAAGTACAATGTTTCTTATGAGTGTTTAAAATATTTTCCCTTAAGAAATTCATCAAAATCTCCAAAATTTTCACATTATTTTGTAGTGTAAAATTCACAAAATGTTTAATGTTCATACCTTAAGTTTGTAAATTAAATAAAAATTTCTTTACAAATTTTTCTTACGAAAATAATTTTAAAAAGTTGAGCACTTTACCTTTTTCACAAATATTTTTTGTGAGCGTCTAAAGTTTAAACTTTGACGGAATCTGATATCTACTTGTTTATTGACGATGTAACGGTAAACGACAAACGCTTTCTCAAGGCCACCAAGTAAATACCAAAAACCCAGTAAAACTACAAGTATACAGAAACACGTTAATCGAGAGACAACACCTCCGCAATCTGACGGTCCGAGTAGACGAGGTAATTTTCACCTGTCTAACCACGTCATTGAACACCAACCCGATTCCTTGCCCGGGACGGCCTATAATATTAATATATCTTATTCGGTATAAATACATGGACTACCCTCAGACAAATTTCCTCAATATCCCACCTCCTGTTCCAAAATATATGAACGATACACCGACCTATAGACGACAATTATGGTCAAATAACTAAGAATAAAAATAAAATTCATCAAATCAGTATCTTCGTATGATCAACCTCCCACTAGAAGTAAATAGTATCGCCGGGATAGTGGGATACAAGTCGTATGACAAATATTGAAGGATCACTTCAACTTCTTCCTTCAAACCAGCAACCGCTCTCAAAACCATGCCTGCATGTGCTAATTGAAATTTTAAAACTACCCAAACCTTCAGATATGACGACCATTATATGCGTATAGTAGTCACTATTGTCGCCAACCCAGCTACTAGACTATTACGCAGACGACCAGTTCAACTGTCGACAAGCGAGCAAGTGTGACCGGAAGTCACGTTGACGGACCGACCGCTGCGGGTTGGCAACTCAGTTGATCAACAACGACAACCGATGAACACCTCGACTTAGCACCACATCGGAAACCCGCATACCACGAGCCACTAGCCAGGACAGATCTGGCGAGAACAATCAGATTCCGAAACAGAGGAAACTCTGATATCATCGAATAGCCTTTTTTAAGGCTACCATAAAGTTCTAGTTAATCCACCCAACGCGCTTGATACGTAGTAACCAGGGTCAACAAGTAATTTCTATTGGAGTTCGGAAGATTAAAATTATAAAGAAGGTCATGAAAAAAAAAATCTTTGTAAAATTTGTATATTTTTATAATACCAATATGAAAACAAAAAAATGTATTAGAGCCGCAAAAATCATAATACCCAACTAACCTAAAATTATTCAAATTAAAATTAATTTTGATTTCTATTTCGTCAAATTACAGGCATTTGCCAAATAATTTTACATTTTTAAATTTATTTTATAATAGGTAATTCGATTGTAAAACTAAATATAATCATAACATTTTTTGGCACTTATTGTCTTGTATCTCCTATAGGTATAGTCCAATCTACGTGGCTGCATGACTGCGGACTGCACTACTACGGTCTACAATATGTCGATATTATTAAAATTGTATACTATATGGACATGGTTGGATTACACAGCCTGCAGCTGACAACTGCTATCTGTCAGCGTAATCGACAGGCGACAGTTACCTGTTGTTATACTTATTTATAGTTAGACATAAAATTAATTTTCAATTTTTTTTGTGGTTAACGACTTAGTGTTGACATATTATTTCTACATGTTAAAACTGAAAATAACTTGATATTCTCTACAGTTTACTTATTAATGCATAACTGTTTGAAATGTTTTTTTTATTTACTTGATTAAATATCCGACATCGCTATATTCGTAGGCGCAAGTAGTACAATTTTTTGAGGGGGACCAAAGCCCATCCTATAATAATTTTTTTAATGATATATTCTTAGTACCAAGTAATGACTTTTGAATTGAGAGAACTTGGCAGACATTTTGGGGTGGGGACAAACCCCCGAATTGCTCTAATTGGCCTATTATTCTGTGCTGGACATTGTACTTAGCGAAACAAAAGAAAAATAATTAAAACCCGTTTTCATCAAATTCGATATTGTTTTTTGGTGTAACTAAAAAAATAAAAGTATACATGAAATTTTCACTGAATGCTTCGATTTTTAATTTCTATACACCTTTCAATTTTCAAAATATTTTAATTATTTTTGAACTAATTTATAGGCAAAAGACAATTTAGAATTTTATTATTTTTTTTAAAAAATATTGTTGATTAACAATTTTCGCTTGGTTAAAAACTTAAAAATTGAATGGAAAGTTCCTCATAAGTTGTCACTGAAAATTTAAAAAAAATTGAACATCAAAATCAACAATAATTTTTGTCATAAGCCTACTTTACGTGGTGACCTTTTTTAGTGAAGGATGTTCAATTTTTTTTAGCTTAGGCATGAAAATGTAATACATGGCTTCTCATAAATAGTTCTAACTGAAATTGCAAAATCTAAAAAACATATTTTCACAATTTTTTTTTTAACATTTGAAGTTCAAATTTGGACTAAATTAGATGTTTAAACGAAGAATAACGATTTTAGTTCTTTTATTGTAATTATTCAAAAATATAATTTTGTAGGACTTGAACTTTAACAATTTTTTCGGAAACATCTGAAGCTTCATTTGAACAGCTGGTTACACACTAAGTGAACAGTTCTCGAACGTTTTTAATCGCTTACAACCCAAAGTCAATTACACATTTTAGGTACATAGACACAATTTAAAAAAACACTTTATTAAAACCAAATAAATTATTAAAAATCTAAAATATTTATCTAGGTACTCCTCTATAGTTTTATTTTAATGGTACGTGTTTATATGTTACCATATTACTCGCACGAAAGAATTTCATGATCATTTTTTGAAAATATTTGTACTACCCCCTACCTAATTTGAAAGATTATGTAATATGTATGACCATTTCTAAGTTTTTCGCCTCTAGCTCTTGCACCATTTACATAAAGCGATAAAACTGGAGCGGTGCTGGAGAAACTGTTCCTCGGCCTCACCCTTCGTGCATCCTATAGACATGATAATAATATAATAGATCATCATGACAATGCCATGATATTGTCTTAAATAAGAGCAAAGAATATTTTTGTTATTATTCAGAATTTATTATTCTGTAATAAGAGCGTCCGCCAGCAGAGATAACACGTAGACGTTATCAGATGTTTGGTGACGATAAGATGACGAACATGATAACCATCACGGCACGTCCAGACGACGTGTATCGTGTATGTGTTTTATTTGTTCGAAGGTGTTCGAGCTCTGTTATGTTTTTTTTTTTGTTTAATGAATACTGAATAATAATTAACCACTCGGCATATACAATGCTAACATATGTTCAAAATGCTCACTATAAAGGACGCGATTGCTTCAGAGTCGTCCACCGACCAACCGTTCTGTTAGCTGTTGCTGTTGTGCCGTAGTGACGAAAATGATTTCAATACGAAAAGCCGTCTTTGTCGTAAACACTTTTCTGTTGTGTGTCTTGTTGGTTTTTAACATTTATTGTAAGCTCCTCGGCGTCCAGTTATTTAAAAAATCTCAAAAACAATAAGAATATAATGGAATAATGATGTGTTTTTGTACTTATTTTTTTCCAGTCACAAATGGGGACATGACCATTGTCGATGTCAAAGAATTCGAATACGGAGGAGATATATTTTTTGAGATAACACATCCACCAGAACTACAGTACACATATCGCATACGACCAGCCAAAAGCTTTGGCATCCCTTTTGTAAATAATTACCTTTTACTGATAAGCCCAATTTTAGGTTTAAAGGAATACAATTAGTGTTTCATAACTTGATAATATGATTTATTTATTTTTTGTTAAGGACAGGGAAAAATTTCCAGCTAAAAATACAAAATTGGTACTTGTCGACCCTCACCATGGATGCGAAATTCCTAAAAACGCAAAGCAACTTGAAGGGAATGTTGCATTTGTGAAAAGAGGGTAATTATAGTTATTTTTGGTACAGTAATATTACTAAATGAAAATGTGTAAAACAAATTGTTTGAACAGTGTGTGTAGCTTCTTAAAGAAAACTGTAATCTCAGAATTATCTGGAGCAAAAGCTATTGTTATCACAGACAACAACATTTATGATGATACAGCTTATATCCACATGATTGATGATGAAAGTGAAATGTCTGCCAATATTCCAGCTGGTTTCCTTGTTGGAAAATCTGGGTAAGTTGTTTCTTTAAAAATCTAAATAATTTCCTATAACAATACATTTTAAACACCAAATTATTATTACAATTTATATTTATTTATTTGGGCCATATGACGTATTATGTAATTCCAATTGAAATATTTATATAAACTTAATATATAATAAAACAATAATTACACTGTGTTCTAGGCATTTAATACACACCAAAATGACTGAACTATTGATGACAGAACTCCCCATTGTGTTTCCATTAAACATGACTTATGTACCGATACATGAAATCAAACAACCACCGTGGATAACAATTTGAATCTTGTACGTTCAACTCAATACTAGACTGAAAATCCCTCCATGTTATCGTATAGTTTTAATGTTAATCTTTATGTTTTGATTTTATTTTATTTGATAATGACTGAACGGAAATCTCACATGTTAGAATATAATTGCAGACAATTGAGGACCTTATTTTTAAATAGTTTTAGCTATAATTTACTACAATTATGCAGTTTGTATAGATGTATAACATTATTTGGTTAATTTATTACAGGGTTCTATTCAACAGGGAGTTATTTATAACATAAAAATGTAATTTTTAACCATAATATTTGAGGTAACCGTTCATTTTTTGTATTTAATATTTATTTGTATATTTGAATCAATGATGGTTAATAAAGTGGCCAACAAAGATGACAAATAAATAATGATAACAATATGATAAATAAATGTATAAATGTAATTGATAATAATATATCACATCATAAAATTACCAATTAGATTTATATAATAAATAATGTGTTTTATTGTATTTTAATAAATTTATCCCATTTATATTATTTTAAATTTATATTCATTAACCAGATGAATTATTTTGGATTTTGCATTTAATATGTACTTGAATATTGAATCTATTAGAGTTAATTATATTTTAAACCAGTCAAGGAAAAACATACTTTAAATCTGCAGTTTAAAAATAGTCATAACTTACATAAAAATAATATTATCAATAAAATCCTCAGAGATATCCCAGATAATATTCTTGTCTTTAAATTTTATAACAGGTAAATTCACTCTAATTTTAGAAATTATGGAGTGAAATGTATTATTCTGAATGCAAAATTTACCATATTGTATATTTGTAAGATAGGGACGACAAATTAATGTATGGTGTCCTAAAACCTGCTTGCCGGCGGCCAGTCCCTAGTCATTAGTGCTCTCGGTGACCTAGGAGTATATGCGGAGGCTAGAAATAATACATTATCACAATATTAAAACAATGCGCATTGCTGAACATGGTATTAACACTCACAAAGACAATTTCTCAGGAGGTGTCCCTCCCCTCTAGGTATTAGGTTACTCAGTAAAGTTACATATGAAATTGCCTATATTGGCAATACAAATGTATGAATTACTAATTATGAGTAGAGTATAGGCACATGTGTTCACATTTAAGGGACATTACATCTACAACGTTCTCGTTTTACTTGTGCCCACCAATGTACGATACGCCAGCACGATCAATTCACAAATATCAATTTTTTTTTAAATCAATAATAAACAAGAAATTAGCATAACAACAGCAGTCTGCGAAATAATCACTTAAAGAAACGGACGGTGCTAGCAAAACAATTTCACATTTTATGGTCACGCATTACTACGAATCTAGTAAATCAATTGACTTCGACTGAAAAGGGGTTTTTCCAAATTTCAAATAAATCTGTTAAATATAACGGAAGTTACAAAGCTAAATGTTGCAGAATTTTTAACAAAAAATAATTTATGATCTGTTTCCGTGAGTCGTGACGCGTGAGGAGAATTTGGCGGCGACGAGACCTTTTACTCAACTAAAAATAAAAAGGAACGCACCCCCCAGCCCCCACCTCAAAATTAGATTTTGGGAATAAGCCAATCTTTAATAGATAGGTAGTAACTAGTAAGTACTAATTATTGCCTATTGGTCTGTGCCATTTTTTCCACGTTATAATAGGTACTGGCTATTGGCTAGTGTAGGCATTTTGTATCTAGGTAGGTAGGTACTAGGTACTCTACTACATTCTGATGAGCATTGCGCTAGTCATAGAACAGTCGTACCCATTTGAAAATAGTAACGTTTTTTTAGTACAAATTTAACATGTAATTTGCAACGTTAAATTCAAACAAATTATTAAAGTAAACTGATTAACCTAAACATTAAAAATGAAAAATCATATTAGGTACCAAAAAATATTTTTATTATAGTATGTTATGTTATTTCAACTCCAATAAAGTAATTGAAAATTTCATTGAGTTTTAAAATATATGCGTAGGACGTACAAGCGACATATTTTTGGATGTTTGTTCCTCCATCAGGAATTTCTAGTTTGCCAATCGACCACGGTCCACGGTTGCGATGTTGTGAATCAAATATGAAATAAAAGCACTAGCACATTATGAACGTTTACAACTATCCATAAGACAATGCTCCATTTTTCCTCGATTTTCTGAAAAATAAACAGGTATGTATTGGAAATTTATTCAAATAGCAGTTAGGTGGAGATAGTTTCACACTCATATTTTAAGGGGCTTTAATTAGGCAATTTCAAAGAAGAAAAACATCTTTATAGTCACGGGCTCACAGCGCGTACATTCAGGCATTCAGAGTTGATATTGCGGAACCGTGGTGAGGGGAGAACTGGAGGAGGTTCATCAACTAGATATCTTTTTCGTTTTACCAGGGTCTTCGTCATTTTTAATATTAGAATAGTGAGATGCGGTATAACTGTAAGTATAGCCGAAGGTTATATAATATATACAAAAATAATGACAGAAATAATTTGGTCTTGAGTCATAGCAGCACTATATCGATTCGTTAGTAATTAGGAAATAATAAATGATGTATAACAGCTACAGTATTTCATAAGTAACTAAGTAATTTACAAATGTGGTCGTTCTATCATATAAATATGAAAGTATCTATATATTTCCAGAATCACACAAGCGACAAGCATGCCATCCTTTTAACTATACATATATAAAATATATATAAATATGGTACCTATAGTACCTAATATAGAATTAAAGTTATCTCTTCAGATAAACCAAAGCTCTGTAAAAGATATATTCAATTCATGTTTTTCTGGAGTTTTGCGTAAGGGTAATTGTCGAGTACGTCGTACAAATATCGGTGCCAATGTAATATTAGAATACAAACACAATGGATATTATTGCTGAAATTTGTAGCAATTGTATCCTATATTATTATGTACGTATGGCAAACCCAAAACGTATGTGTGAATAATGGACACTATATAGACAATATATACAGATAGTGTAACACCAAGACCTGACAAATAAAATGTCTTAATATGTTCTGATCAATATTTTTAATTTTTGTTTCTGTATAATATTAATTGACTCGTGCGCTACACGTTTTATAGAACAATTTTTATCTTTTAATACTGTAATAATGGATAATATGCTTCAGCAACTAAGTAAATTGCAAATACAGTAAGTACAATCTTTCCAATCTGCCATATTAAAAAAGTCCGCAGACATTTTGCCTCCTCGCGGTCATTATTAACATGATTGGAGACAATAGAGAGGCGATGAATTTCAAACGAAAGAATAAAGTTAAGACGGTATATGTTGCGAGTTGCGACCCAGTATTTCCCAGGTTACCCGAGTCAGGCACATATGTCAGTTGAGTGTTGAGTCCCAACATAACGTTTTAATGTAAATTTCGTCCAGTTTATTTTAGGTGCATATGTAAATTGCGTAACGGATATATTTAATATTATAATGTATGTTACCAAATTACATCCAATATTTTTTTCCCCATTTTATCAGACCTAAGACTTGTCAACATCACTGTTATATTATTGGTATAGTAAAAAATATTGGTTTTTTTTTATTTAAACCTAATAAACAAAAATAATAAAAATGAATTTAGGATGTTATATTTTTATTTATTATTAATTAAATTGCATTTTTTATCGGTACTAATCGGCTGTTGAATTTTTATGTGCAAGATTTGTCTTTTATTAATTATTAACTTATAATGTAAAACCAATTAGTCTATATTGAAGAAGGTAAAAATGTAAATAAAAATTGCCTCACAAATTCAATTTAAGTTATTTTTTTAGTTTTTGATCCTTATTCCTTTCGTATTTTAAAAATATATCTAGTGACGTAAAATTTTAGAAATTTCTTAAGAGAAATTACAATTTTTTTTTTAAGGATTTTCCGTCGGACGCAATTTATACCTATATAATACAAGACAGAAACACGTGCCGAAACTTACGTATGTACCCAAGAATCAGGACGTAACTTACAGTCAGCCAGTTCACTATAAATATCTGACGTATGTATACTATACAATATAAATCATTAATTACCAACTAAATAAAATGTATAGTCAAATTTATCCAGTGTTGGGAAAATTACTTTTGAAAAGAAATAAAATTACGTTACACGTTATATTAAATATTATTATTTAAATTACATGCGTTAGTAGCGTTACCTATCCAACATTATTTTTATCACATTATGCTACTTTTTCATTCAATAAGGAGGTTACAAATAAAGTTAAATTTTTATAAATGAATACAAAATCAGTCCTTAACGACTAATAAGTACACTACTTATACTCTTAATTATTATATGAATTGTATAATAGTATAGGTATAACATCGATGTAGGTATTTGTTAATGCCTTAATGGCTTAATGTTATACATGAAATATATGGACAAAATGTATAAGTATTAATTTCAGGAATAATATTATTAATTTTCCACGAATATCGTGATCCTAGTTTATGTCATATACTACACAGTCTACATTTATGACTTATTTTAATAAGGTTACAATTACGTTGATTAAAATAAAATATAATGAAATTACTACAAGGTTACAGCAAAAGTTAACTTCGTTACAGTAGTTTGTAATTCAGTTATTTTACTACCCAACGCTAATTATAACCAATAAGTAGGTCGAAGATAAAGAATAAATGTTATTGTTGCTAAATACCATTATACCAATAATATTATGTGTAATCGACGTTTATCGAATGCAGTAATACACAATAGAATTTTCAACAACTTACCAGTTGAAGTAATATAAATTTAAAATTTGCATAAAGAGGAATTACTATCTAGCAACTAGACATTAGCATAATATCCAAAATTCCAAAAGCTGGTTTGAAAATTAAAACAATGCGGTAGGCCCTCGACGGTCAAAAAATAAACTTCCATTACAAAATATTTTTTAACAGATTTTTTCTGACTTGCGCAGTAGTACCTTACTACCTTGAGGTTTGTACCTACAAAGACAATTATTAATTTTTAGTCAAATTTAAATATAAATTGTTTTACGAGTAGTAATAGGCGTTAACTGGGGTACAATACAATACCCCTTGGTGTTTCGTAAATTAATTTAAAAAATATCATCGAAAATGCATTTTTGCTTAATTATAAAGTAAGGATTAATTTGTCAAGAAAAGTATGATATTTTAAAAGATTAACTACAGAATACAATGAATGGCCTAATCAGAAATGTTTAATCATTGCCATTCGCGATCACAATACATCATAACAGAATTTATTATCCTCTTCATAATTCTCGAGCAAAAACAAAACGATGATTTAAAGGCAGAACTAAAATTAGTTGGAAATTTGTGTTCACTAATATTACTGAACATTTTGAAGCTCGTTAAAATATGTGCCCTACATACATCGTTTTATTTTATTGCTGATTCAGGTTCTGAATGTCTTCCAATATGGCGAGAAATAGGTAATCCTGGTCAGGACTGTCTTGACGGTAAATTCGCCAGGAATTTAAGTGATGAATATAGGACTGTACGTCTGTACACGATTAAGAGAAACACCTCTCATTTCTTTCAATAATTTAAAATCCACGTCCAACCATGACCTCTTAATGTATTGAGTGTGGGCTCCTACATTCGCATCGACATAATACGAGATTTGGTGATTTAGTCTTGTGATGCATAATGCAGCCCATTCATCTGATCCTTGCATCTCATATTCATTATATTATCGGTAAAAGCGTTTCTCGATCGTGTCAATGAACATATAAAAATGACGGGAACCGTTTCCATTTTTTAAACTGAATACTCAGGGGGCCATCTACTCGTGAAACGTAATCTCGGTTATTAATTACTTCAGAATTTATAAATTTTTCAAGGAGGGTAGAGCGTCCCCAGCGAATAATATACCCTTAATGTATTTCCTTCGGCTAGCGAGACAAGATTCAACAATATGAATTGGATTTTGTGCATTTACAGTCTAATCTTTTAGTCTTTTAAACAGCTGTGCGTACTTCCCAACATATCGTATGTAAAAACGATGGAAGATAATGCATAATAAAATATACAGTCGTTGTCCAATATCCCTTTACCGAGTGTAGAACAAACGGCAACACCTGTAGAGAGCGTCCCAAATCAGAGCAGTCATAAAATAATTTTGGTAGTATTTTATTGTTAGAAAATTACATGAACCACCCCTAACAATTTACAACTCTTTCAGTATTTTTAATGCAGAATCACATTTTAAAATCAAAGTAAAAATGCTTACATTTCTACATTTCAATAATTATAAATATTAGTGAATTAGCTTGACGTATAGATAATCATGTCTTTTAGCATTGGTTTACATTAGTTTACATAGAAATTATTAATATATTTATTTTTAAAGAATGTTTTCAATCTATTTTGGGAACGTTAATTAATAATTTTTAGTTTTCAATAACGAGACAAAATACTGTAAAACATGATAAGTGATAAGGATAACTATTGGCTTTGTCACTGCTAATCATCTGCGAAAAGCATTTTAATATAATAATTAGCCAAGATTTCTTCAGCTTACGTCAAATTTAATATTATTTTGTTATTTTCTTATTTCTTATGTCAAACAAGAAAAACAGGTGTTAAGAAAACTCACTTTTTAAATTAATCGTCAGTATGTTTTAATGATTGGCAATATTTACTTTTATTCTAAAAATCATGAATATACAAACAGGATACTGATGTAGTGATATGACAGCCAAAGATTGAAAAACAATCTATGAACAGTACTAGGTGTTCACAAATCATGAAAAAATATTTTTTTTCATTTTAATTGGAGTTTTGGAGCATCAATTTAAAATAAATATGTTGAACTAGTGCATAGAATAATATTGTAGTTAAATTTAAAATAACTATTATTACCATTAATTGTTTCAAGTGTGAATATCCAAATTGTAAACTGCATATAGTAAAATAATTGGTCCATGTGCCATGTTTAAAGTAAACAATAAAAAAAATACTTTGGCTTATCACAAAGTTTATTACATTCACAAACGTGTACACTACGTCAACCTACCTAAAAAAATTGATTAACAATTAGCTTAGCTCAATTTTAAAAAAATTAAGAGATTTAACATTTTTTTTTTTTAAGTTTAACATATTCTTGAATGTCTAATACATCAGATTTATACTGTACTTAATAGTTCTAGTTTAATCCACAAAATACATATACAAATTTTCCTACATAGTGTTAGACTTGAGTGTTATGTATATATTTTAGATTAATATCATAGTACGAAATAAACTATTTAAATTTAAGGTAACAATAATGAATAATAATATTAATTTGTCAACTTAGCAATCAAAAACACATATTATATTATTATATTTTAATTACAGTACACACCAGTATTGTAATGTTCAATTGGATATTATTCTCGTCAGAACTAAAATGTCCATCTATTTAAGAATTTGAAATGTATGAATCAAATAATTATCTATAACTTAAAAGTAGGATAAATACCATTTTAGTGAGTACTAAAATGTTGTTATTATAATATAAATAACAAAACAGTAAAAATCATTTTAAATAAAACCTAAGAACTAATATTATATAAGAAATTATAAATATCAAAACAGTAACATAAAAATCAAGATACAAATGTTTAACTTTATTGGAGGTGTAAATCAAAATTGATGGTAAATTTAACACAGTACCAATCAGTCTGACGAGAGTTGTCCAAAAAATTATTATTTAAATATTCCCAAAACCATATTATTGAAAATCATAATTACATATAAACATTAAAAATGTAACTAACACAATACATCAAATGAAATATAAATATTTCTACACTAATCCAAATAATAATCACTCATTAAACGATTCATATTTCATTTAATTTAGCCATGAAACATTACACACAAGTTTCTTAATGATAAAACGACTACAAAGAGTTAAGACGTACAAAAATATTACTTATCACATCACTAATATATAATTAAAATATTATATAAAATAATATTAAGTAAACAACATATTTGTACTTAAAATATTAATTATTTATTAGGCTCGCTAAAGAATAAAAATCAAAACATGATATAATTGAAAATATTAGTATTTTGGCATTGTTTTTAAAATAAAATAAAATCTTTTAACACAATTTTTCCGAGTATAAAAATGAACAGTATAATGATTTGCCTGAATCGATAGAAAAAATATTACAATAAGCAACCCCCCTAAAAAATGTATACACCTATATATATAGACACATATATATATATTATATAAATTAAAGAAATTTTCAATCAAACCATCTGAAGTTTTTAGATTGAAACTTTTTCCATGTCAGATTACAAAAATAAATTCAAACAGAATTTCTAAGTCATTTGAAAAAAAAGAAAGATAAATCATAACAAGCAGGAAAAAAATTAAACAAACACCAATTATTTGTATCTTTTAATTAATTAACAGTTGTTGTTAACTGTCCACCAAAAAATTATTTATTAATCTACAGAAAATAAAATAACTATTATAAGCATAAATAATTATTCAATCTTGAACCAATATTCTACCATTATTCATAGTTTGTTAAAAAATAAAATAATATAATAATAAACAATCAAATTAATATTATAATATGAATACTAAATCAATAATTATAAACTAAAAGATAAAATAGACTGGAAAACATGACAAGTTGACTAAGTGGCAATATGCTTAAACATGGATTGTGTTAGCCATTTTGTTTATTTTAATTTTTATAAACATTGTACTACTTTCCATTGTTAACATTATAAAAAATCGATAATAAATCCGTTATACGAATGACAATAGTGATCAAAACATAAGTGCAATTTTTATTATATGTGTAATTCAGTAATTTTAAATTATGATAAAATCGAGTGAAAAATTATGAGTATAATGAATATTTACAAAAAAAATTCATCATAGTCATTTATTGAAAATTTAAGTTTTCTTTAATATGAAAATATATTATACTTTGTGATGATAGATTAATATTTACTTTATTTTATATATATATATATTTATAATATATAGTTGTATGTTAAAAATATTTATTACTCGCTTATGAAGGACTTGCAACTACTACAGGCGCATTAGTCACAGACCGGGTTGCTAATGGTACAAATTCGGCAGCATCTGGATTTAGAGTACTCTGTAACACACATTTACAAAAAATTTAAGCAATAGAATAGTATTCACAAAAAAAAATATTGTTTTTTTAAAAATAAAGAAGTCATCATAATATTTGTTGTACTTTTAAATATTTCATAAACAGTAAATAAACTTTGACTAGTTTTAATTTTAACTGTTCATCAATTTTTATTTCACACCTAGGATTTAAATTTGGTAGATATAAAAAATAATTATGTATTGCAAAACAACAAGTAAAAACTGCATGCTCAATAAAATAAATTATCAATATTTTTATTAAAACTAATATTGAAATTTTTATTTGCAATTAATTACAACCAACTTAAAATTATTTATCTTTAATTATAGATTTATTTCAAAGAAACATTATCTTAACAGTAATTACTATAGTACTATAGATACAATAACAGTTAAGTTACAAGAATAAGGAAATAATTATAAAAATCAATGGATAAGAAAAATTGATTAAAAACAGATGACAAGACTTGAAAGACTATAAGAAACAATTTAATTTGAGTGTTACTACATTTATTCATTTAAGCAGTATTCAATTTTAAATTTTAATAAATAAAATTATACTTGTGACATTAATATCATCAATTTTACTTAATGCTCCTTACATAGGTAAATCTCTCTCCAGAATTATAGATGTAATCAATTTAAAATACCATGACAATTTATATAACAAGGGTATAAGTGAATGTCACATGTTACCGTTAAATTTTAATAACACAATACTCTACTCGTTATCAACAATTCATATTTGGCAATGAAGTTAAAAAAATGTATACAAAAATAATCAGACTTACTGTAGATTGCCTTGGCTGATCACCATTATTGCAAGATGTATTTAAGTTCAAATGATCAAGTCTATGGGCAATCATTGAGGTAGAGCTACTTGAACCATTTCTATAAATAATAGGAAAATTAGCATATTTATAAACACATATATGTAATAGAAAAAATTTAATTTACGTTTGAGCATCTCCATTTGCTGAACCATTCTGTTTGCTATTATGTTGTTCATCGTCTAACATAGCCTCGAGGCATTCTTTCATCAATTCTTTTTCTTCTAATTCTTTCATAACCTATAAGTTATAAAATATTTTATTACTATGATATCCATGAATAATTTTTTTGATATACCTAAATAATAAATAAAAACTAATAAACATATTTCCCTTATTACATATTAAATTCAAAATCATAGTACAACTATGTAACTATGATAATTTAATATTGGCAGTTATCCAATTAAGTAATAAGGTATAAAGTTGGTTAGCCATATCAAAATGTATCACCAAGCCACCTTGCATCAGCACTCAGCTGTCATTAATTTAAATTTTCTAGATAATTATTTTTCTTTTATAAGTATGTTACCTTACAAATATATCTAGTTATAACAATTAACTGTTCCAAAATAGAGAAATCACTTCAAGAGTTTTGTTAACATGCTGTTAGGTTAAGCAGTGAAATATGCGCCATACCAGTTGAATATTGGTGGGCAAACTGATTATTCTCTTTTAGAATTTAGTATAGATATACCTGTAAGTCAAACTCTTCTTGATTTTCCATCCACATATATTCTGAAAAATCTCCATCCCTTGTTGGTGGATCAATTGAATCGGAATTTGATTCTGTATCATATGGATTGCTCAAATTATCATCATCATTTAATGTGTTGTCATTACTTTGTTCTTTGGATTCTTCCTTGGGGACCTTCATTGTGTTTGTATATTTTTTATTCAATTATTTCCTAAAACAATTAATACAATTAATAGATACATTAATTATTACATTTTAGCAGTCTTTCCTCAAGAAAAGTAAAAATGTAAGTTGGTTATTCATAGTAGTCTACATGTTACAATAGCATAATATTATTAATTACATAGGTCCCTTACATCTAATTTCAATTTATTCACTTTAAACTACAAAGAACTTAATAAATAAAAAATCAATAGATTAAATGTTGTCTGTATCTAACTTCTAGTTATGATACTAAAGACTAATCATTACATTAAGGGAAGTATTTTTTTTATTAAGTTATAAGGAACTAAGGAAGATATAACCTATATGTTATCTACATCCGTTATTATTGATATGTAATATTAATTAGGCAAACAAATTTACACAATTTACTTTAAGTGAATATTGATTGTGATGAACTCCTTTCCCTCATCCGTTTTAAAGTAAATCACCGTAACACAAGATGCAGTGAATTATTCTATCCCGTCCCATATAAAACAAATCATATGATAAACTGTCTTTCTAATATTCTAATGGCTGCGGGTAATTCCATTACCTTTGATTTTGTTTAGCAGGTCTCGACTTATATCTTTCTTTGTTGTTATTTACCTTTTTCATTCTCTTGTCTATATTTGTAGCTTATAATTGTTTAATGTATCATAGATTGTTATTTGTCATTACTATAAAATCATTGCATTTTTATTACCGTGTATACGCACAAAATATTGTTAAGAAGTCCATTCATATATTAAAATTAAAATAAATATAATCAATAAATGACCGGTATATTATATTATTATTTATGTCACAATGTATAGATTTTCCATACAAATTAGGGAATTAGGGTGCTACAACATTTAAAATAATTGATTTCGATTTTCATCTTTATATTGCTTAAAATAAAAAATGGAAAATATTTAATATCATGTTTAAATTTTACATATTATCATCAACAATAAGATCTCCCAGAAATAACAAATTTTTTTTTCTTCAAACAATCCGGGCTCATTGACCAAATATAAAGATTTACCTATGAAACATGTTAGTTGATAATTGTTTTGATATGTTAGGTACATTTTTTTTACATATTTAATATGATAAAAATTTTAATTAATTGTTAATTCAGTAGTTTAAACCATACTATTATAACGCTATAATCTGTCTCAAAAGACCAATTTTTAACAGGGGTGAGCATCTCCAAGCAACTACCCGGTGTTAGCTTGATCACGTGGTTTTCAATCTGCCAATTGCATCATTCACGATACACAAAAAGTGATTTGTTTCGCTTTTAAGACTGAGTTAAGAAATTTATTTTGTTTGTAAAAGCATATTAAGAAAACATGTCCATATATTAATTACTGCACAAAAACCACCTTATTTCATAATTCAGGTACAGGAGCATAATTAAGGGGATAAATTCCCCAGAGCTTTTATAATATATATACAAATAGGCTAACACTAATATTTGTAGGTACTTGAACATTTTGTATTTTAAGTGAAAAAAATATCAATCCCCCACTCCAGAACTTATTTTTAATTAAGCCACTATTTAGGTATCAGAACATAAAAATCCAATCTCTAGTCATAACTATATAAAATAATAGGGTACCCCCTATCTAAGAACTAAAAAGTGATAATGTACCTACATAAAATAGTTATTCATTTACTTAGGTAAATAATAATTGTCAATAAAACTTTCCAATTTCCTTAAAAGTGATTGTACTCATTGAGAAAAAAACCAGTTTGATAATGCCAAACATGTTTTACCTATAATGATTTCAACTGAGACGGACGCTGTTTTTTTACAGCAATGCAGTACCCCAACCAGAAAAATAATGTGTACATCAGAAAACCAAATAGGCTAACAATTCTGGTCAGAAATATCTTACAAAAATCAAAATATGTGGCAAAAACAGAATAAAAAAGAAAATATTAACAATTTTAACACACGGTATCGGTTTTTAAAGATAGCACGCCTAAAGGTACAATATGGGAAAAAAATATTCTTTCGAGGGTAGCGAGTAGGTGGCTCCGGACGAAACGTCCATCGGTTACAGCAGTATTTTACCCACGAGAAATGGAAATTGCAGAGAGAAAAAATTTTGTAGTATTCGCTCGCCTTTCACAATGCCCTAGTTTTTTCATGTATATATGTTCCTGCTCGCGCACGTACACACACTCGCATACAGAAAATATACGAAACGCTCGTACACATATACAATTCCACGCACACTCGCGCCACATTATAGGCACTCACCACGGTGGTGTACGCGTGTCGACGTTCTTGGTGGAGAGAGCGAGAGAGAGAGAGAGAGAGAGAGTGAGTGATAAAAAGAGAGAGGACGAGAGCGAAATGCAAACGGAATGATAAAATGAATATAAAAAAAATCACACACACACACACACACACACAGATGAACACGTTTGAGACGTCGACAAAATAATATAATAAATCGTATAATAACATTTTGGCCGTAAAATCCGGTGGAATTCAAGAATTCATACTCACGAGAAGACGAAGAAAACGGGCACACGCCGGTGGTTATGCAGTGCAGCTACAGCCTGTTGGAGACGTCTCGTTGATGGACCGACGGAGGATAACGCACACGACGGCAACAAAAATGGACGGTCGACCGACTGTGTTGACGATCGCTGTGCGTGTATTTCGCGGACTACGGAGGAATCGCGCACGAGGAGTTTCGCTCACAAAATGGAAGGTGAACGGGATAAACGTCGCCGTCGAATGGGAAATGCGGAGTAGAGTCGCTCTGCGCAGCGCGCCCGCGCGGCGGGTGCCGATACTATTGTTAATCCGTCGACCGACCGCCGGAGGCCGCGACGTGTCGTACTGTCGTCTGGCGGGGCGGGCGGCCACGCGCCTGTGAAGGTGGTACCCCTGAGTTTGCGACGCCAGTGTCGCCAGCGAAAAGGCCCGAAATTGCGTACGGAGTCACGTCGTCAAGACGTCACGGCGCCAAACTACCGAATAGATTTGAAATGGTGATTGGCGGGAACGCGATAACAACGATATAATTCAAAGTGGATTGACGAATCCACCTTGGTTATATAATTAACTATAAAGTTACTGGTTAGTTAATAATTGGTCTATGCCCTAGCTATGGTCAGGTACTCTGTCAGCGGTCACTAGTTGGAAGAGTAAACACTAACACAATATGGCTAAAATTATAGATGACTGCTAATTACCGACAAATGACAATACAGTAGACAGGTTTCAAGCATGCCGTAGTTAAGTCGTTAGTATAAAAAATACATCCTGTACGTGCTCAATCTGTCAAAGACAAGTGCAAACTCATAGAAAAGACACAAATATTGGACAACACTAGTTGTAGGTTGTAATATCGCAGTATGCGCGTCACCGCTCACAAACGGACATGGATAATAGATTTTTACTTTAAATGTATTTCAAAATTATTCGAGGAAATTAGCACGCGAAATGCCACAGATTAAATAATTTACATTTTACAATAGTGTACTAGTATAATAGTTGTCGTCTAACTGGTGACCATAAGTCAGCTGCAACTTCTGACAGCTGCGGGTTTCCGGTAAAACGACCACATATTACAAAATAGCTATAAATAAAGTCGTATATACTATAAGATATAAATGGCTACACAAACCACAGATTAAATTATAACAGAAACATTCTATGACTAAACCGTTACTACTTCTATCTTAAATCTTGATTCGATGTCGATGCTCAATGTTATCACTCATCACAGTTATCACCAAAACACCCACGGCCATAAAAACTTTATACCACCATAGTGCCATTCAAAAATTGAGAAGACTGAAGTGCTTAATGCACTAATGCAGATTGCAGACAATATACATTCAGTAAATGCAACAGTGCTAATGCACCGAACTGCATGGAACACCAAATGGAAATTATAATAAGAATAGTAAACTAATTTCGTGTAAATCAAAACATTGTCTTATAAGCTAGTCAATAGTAAATAAATACATTTAACATAGTTGAACACTTAAGAAAATTCGTTTAAAAACGCTTGTCTGATGAATCTTGGACGTGAAATCTCTCCGCAAATGTGCCTCCCTCCTCCGAACAAAAAATTAAGAATAAAAATATTAAACATAAACACACAATGCAAATCATTAAATGTCAAAATATTAAATTAACATTTAAATATAATTCAATAATACTTTCACATAACTTTGATCTATTAATCGTAAGCCATTAAATTGGGTCATAAATCCATAACGTGAATTATGTAGTCAGTACATGCCGATATGATGATCGTACATTTTAGGTAAAACCAAACAACCTATTTTTATGTGTAAAAAATATATACATCGATTCAGGGAGAAAAGTGGAAACGTCCAGTACCGCAAATTTTAACGTTTTCGTCGATTGTCGAATGTACTGTTAACCAATTAGGTTATTTATAACATTGGTTCTTTAAATTATGTACCAATCAATATTATATTTATGCACAAAAGTAAATGTATTAATAAAAGTACAGTATTTTAGTTTAAGAGTTCCGTGCAATGGAAAAAACAATTCATAAAATTAATTTAACCAAACATTTTTTTCTCGAAATATTAATTGCATTTGTTAAAAGGTAAAAAAAATTTTAAATATCATCCATATTATATAAAATTAAAACGTCTATACCTTAATTATATTTATTGAATAGGGACCAATATTGTTAGACATAATATATTATATTTTCTATTTTCTTAAGGCTTAATACCGCAAAGAAGTTTAATCTAACAAAATTAAATGTAGCAAAACCTGAAAACCATATCAAAAGATTTATAAATAATACTTCTGTTGTGACCTCAATGTTAAACATAGGAACATAAATTAATAATTTTAGAGGATCATCAGGCCAATGAATGCTATCAATATTTTTTTATCTAAAAAAAAAACTTAAAAATACTAAAAAATATAAAATAGTTCATTTTTGGGAGTAAATAATCACTTTTAACATCGGATAAATAATTATTTTGATTTAGCTTCGATATCTTAGCGTCCTAGTGTACAGTTAAACAGTTTGAAGAAATAGTTAAAGGGGACGCCTTATAAGCGCTATCGGAAGGAAGTAACCGAATTGGTTCCTGTTTGAACCTTGGTAAAAACTAAAAAGTATCTCCTTCACAAAAAAAACCGTCTTCCCGACGTACCTTTTAAATATTGAAAGTATAAAAAATATCTGATTTAAATACTGATCTGAAGATTGATATTATGACAGTAATATTAGATAAGAATAAGATTGTTTTACAATACAACATAGGTACTATGTAGGTTAATTTTTTCAATACTTCAATTTGAAGTTTGAATGGGTAAGTAGGTACTATAATGTATCTATATTTTTATTTCATTGGATAAGTTGGTCTAAGATAGTTATTCAGAAGTCATAACTATTAACTTTACTGTTATACTTATTATTATAATAAGGAACACAACTATAGGTAACTATGTATAAAAAATTACTTGAGTTTCCATAAGAAAATAGTTTAAATGCTTTCTTATACGGGCAAGTAGGTACGTACTTGAAAATGTACCTACTGCAAACACCATTTTAATAGACACCTATAGTTTCTTCTAGTGATTAGTTAAAACACCTATCTAGTTTAGGTATAAAATGGTAGTTCATACATATATGCAATATGTTTCTTACAAAAAAATATGTAAATATGCTGTTACCTACAACATCTGTACAAATACACATTTATACAATAATGTTAAAATTGTTTAACCTCATTTAATTTCTATCAACTATAAATAATTGGTGAAATATTAGGTTGAATAAGGTTATGTAAGTTATACATACAAATATGTACCTACTCAAATATTCTAAAACCTAGGCGATATTATTCAGTAGGTACCAAATCTACAAAACCTCCAAGTTAATTGATTCTAACAAGTATAATTTGAAGTGGGTATCTATCGGCTTACTATTATTAAACCATAAGGAATACACATATAGTAGATATGCATGTGTATACTAATAGGTATACTCACACTAAACCAGATGGCATAACAATCAATCATATACAATTTAAATCATGAATTTGACTAAAATAGTAAAATATCACATTTAAAAAACCTAAATACATAACACCAACAAGAGTATAATCTAAACTTAGTGTTTATTGCAGTTGTATTGACCCAACAAAAAATTTGGTTATAATATTTATAACAACAAGTTCTCTTCACTTTCATAAAAAATCATATGCCTACTAATTACATTTTGTTCTAATTTTTAGTAAAAATGTTTATTTCTAATATCATAAACTTTTTATCAAATTTGAGAAAAAACATAATTGGCCATTTACAAAATATAAACATTTATGTGTGATATATAAAATAATTTTCCAAAGGAATTAGGATAAAGATAATTTGAGTACACAGTACACACTACACGGCCGTTTATTTTTAATGTTAACTTCTACAGATGTAGATAAACAAACAATAACAAACTGATTTTTACTTTATTACAGTCAGTTATGACAACATAACATTATTTGTTGGATAACTTAGTATTGTACAACACTTACTTCAAATTTGAAAGGTTAGATATATGTTCGAGTCTGACATACATTATGAACTTTTGCAATGAAGTAAATATTATGTACCTTTTCATACCTGAAAAAAAAACCAATTGTATGATAAAATATATTACTTATTTACTCAGATAAACTAAAATTACTAAACTAACTAATACATTTAAACATTTAACTAACCAATATATTGTCATATTGTAAATTAAATACAGCCAATACAGGTATATGACATCTTTTCAATAATATCAGTTTAATCCCGAAACTGCAAAAATATCACAAATTATGACAATCATTATCGTAATAAAATATTTTATAAATTACCTATGTAAATTATGCATTAATAGCTTCTTGAAATGTTGAAAACTGTTTAGTTGAGCATTTGCCTAGACATAATATAAGTAGTATCAAGAATTAATAACATAATCATTGACTCAAAATTTTATTCACATACATCAAATCAATGATTGAATTGTTATATTTATAAATACGCAGCTACTAAAATATCATGGAGCCAAAATGTTTTATGTTAATATTCAAAATACTGAAATGCATTCTTAATTACATTGAAAATCTTAATTGTATGAAATGTTAATTAATATAATAAAGTAATATTTTATAAATTCAAAACAACAATTGTTACCCTAAACTTTAAGTCACAAGAAATTGAATAATAAAAGATAATACCATTTTAGTATTTAAATTTTGAATAACTAGCTTTTAAAAATTAAACACAAGTCCTATATATAAAATTTAATTTACTATTATAACTAACTGCTAAAATCTAGTAGTACCACATAATATTTAACATCAAGATAATGACTTAAAGTTGAGGATAAATAAATTAATCTAGCCCCACAAAATTATAATTACTGTATATTTGTTTAAAAATCAAATCACAACATTTAATTAGCAAATATTTGATAAATATTTTAATAATAATGTAAATTTCAACATATTTTTATGGAATCGTTGATCGATTTCAAATATTGTACAGTTGAATTTGTATTATTTATATTTAATAATAATTTGTAAATTGCAAACCTACCTAAGACACTTACTATCTTGGAACCGGGGGACCTAAGTCCTACGCTGTTGATAGGAGTCTCAATATGTTGGTCTGCATTAAATGCCTAATTTAATATCTTGTACCCACAATCTATAACTAATCATCTATTGATAGTGAAACCTCTATAAGACACAACAATAGTGGCCAAAAAACTGTATTATTGAACGGAATTCACTATTCTAAGTAGTAAGATGCTGCATAATCATATTTAACCAAGGTTTAAAAATAAAATCTGTTAGAAAACATTCAGTAATAATTGAAAGACATTGATAAATAGAGATTTCACTTTAACATGATTATAATAAAACACATGAGGAAATAATGATGTTAATAATATTTTACAGAATTTTAGAACATAACAAAGCACACTACTTACGATCTGTTCCAATATAGTAGAAATTATGCCTACCATATTTAAGTATTCATTTAAGAATGTTCCTTCTACTAAAAAAAATGTATTGTGAATTATCATTAAAAATATTGAGTCAACAACAATTATATTCTGGTCCCTGTATAAAGACTGGGTATTTTTTATTTTATTAATATTATAATATATAGTTACACAAAAATTATTCACCATTAAATAAAACGCATTACATTTAAATTAACCGGTGTTTAAGTTTTAAAAATTATATTGGAAAAACAATAATTAATTAAATAAAAAAATATATATGTATTTATATATATATATATAGAGTAGGTATATAAAATGTTTTAAACTTATTTCACCTAAATATTAAATCATAATGAATATGATAAACAAATATTGTACTAACATAACTTTATAGCGGTTCATAAATGGCATTAAGTGTCAACATGTGAAGAGCAGATAATTTTTGTCTGAAAAAAACATCATTCGAATAGTTCAATACCCAAAAGTTGAAGGAGAGAAATTTGATGGTTATTGATTCCTACCAGCCTCGCTTCAGCAACCTGCCTAACAAGATACAAAAAAAATCATTATGCATAAAAAAACAAAAATAATCCTCAGTATTAATTGTATTCAAGCTAAGAATAATTTATGAAGCATTAACAGTTGTAATTTAAAATACTAATGTTCAATACTCACTTTTAATACCTTCCTCTTGAATTTTGATGGAAATTACCACCACCTCCTAAAACCAAGCAATTATGTTATTGGAATTTATAAATTAAGTAACTATATATAAATAAATATATATCAAAAAACGTATACATTTAATTGAAAACATTTAATTAAGTTATTTCAACAAAAAATATTACCACGACCTGTATGATATGGTACTGCTCTGTTGTTACCAAAATTTCCTCGCATTGGTCCACCTCCATATCCACTTTGACTACCTCCCCAATTACCTCCTTTAAATAAAAACATTGAATTAACTATAAATAATTTATGAATGTTATAGCTGATGAAAATACCTCCATTACCCCAACCTCCTTGGGTAGCTTGACTACCCCAAACATTATTCCAACCTTGAGGACCACCTTGAGCCCAACCACCACTACCGCCTCCACTGCCATATCCCCCAAAATGGTTACCTGAAAAAAATTGACCAATATAAGTATAATTTTAAAAATTAATTGTTTTCATGGTTTTAAATTTCAAGCACCACAATACAATGAAATGTACACTCAAAAACAACAAAATAATCTACTTAAGTATGCAAAAATATAAATTAAAAATTATTTAAGAGAAAAACTTATGTGTATTCTCATCAGCTTTGGATTATATCCCAGACACTAATTTGATGTGTAAAAAAACTTATTCAAACATTTTACTAATACTTACATTGTTTCTAATATGCAACTTCATAAGTTATAATTTACAATTATTTATGTAATGTATACATTAAAATAGAATACACTCACCTCCCCAATTATTATTTGGTCCTCCCCAACTTTGACCTCTTCCACCACTAGCACCACGCCCACCTCTGCGGCCTCTAGAAGCTGATGCTACATCTTTACTGACAGCTTTTTTAACTTCTAATTTAGACCCGGAAACTTCATGGGTTTTGATTACTAAAAAAATGTGACAAATGAAGCTCATTCTTAAAAAAAGATAAATAATACATACAAACAGCTTTATCAACTGAATCTGAATCATCAAATTCAATAAATCCAAAGCCTTTACGTTGTCCAGTTTCTTTGTCTGCAATAATTTGAATATTAAGTATATTTCCATATTGTCCAAAATATTCTTTTAATTCTTCTTCAGATTGTTCTTTAATTCCAGAAACAAACATTTTTTTGACAGTCCATGCTATATCAGGTTTATCTATGTCCTATAATCATGCCATTGTGAAATAAATTATAAAATATGCAACATAAGATTCATTTTTATAAAATTTGATTTAGTATTTACATCACGTGGTACAGCACGTTTTGTTTCTACTTCACGACCATCAATTTTATGCGGTCTATTTGACATAGCATCATCTACCATTGAAGCTTTTGAGTATGTAATAAAACCAAATCCTCGTGACCTATAATTTAAAATCGGTTTTTTATTTTAAGAGCATTTTAAACTCTTTTAATTTATTGTTAACACATTATTAATAGTCTTGTTGTATGTAACAATAAATATTCATCAAAAATAAAATTTGGGAAAACTTAACAAACACTGTCTACATTTATACTATAATCAATACGCATATGTTAAATTGTTAAAAATAATGGTTAACCCACAAATATAAAAAAAAATAATTATAAGACACACAAACATAAAAAATGTATATATTCATACAACTTTGAATCAAAAATATTAAGATGAGATTCAGTTTTGTCGATAAACTAATAAAACTAATTTATGTTATTTCTTACACTTATGAATTCATAATGCATAATTTAAGATTGTAAAATGGATATTTTTATATTTTTAGAAGCATAGTTACTTATAAATTAAGACCCGAAGTAACCTTGAAGTACATGCACTCGTGAGTCATAGTTATTGTCAAAATGTAGTTGGTTAAAACTAATAAAATTAGTAGTTATTTATTTATTGAAAATTGATTTATCTAAGTTATAATTTCAAAAAAAAAATCTGTAAATAATACAATTTAAGTGAAAATATGTAGTAATAATAAATATTCAATCTAGTGTAGTTAAAATTGATCAAATGCCTAACAAATTAAAACCAAAGTACTAAAAATGACGAGACAAAAAATTTTTTTAAATAAAATTTACTACCTAATTTGTTTCAACTTCTAATCAAGTTAACCTAAAAACTAATTCTGAAAAATATTTGGTTTTTTATTTTTAAATATTCATATTGGGCTTAGTGTCAAAATTAAGGTTTGTAAAAAGCCATTGGAGCAACGTCAATTTTGTGTACACATTTAACTAAATCGATATTGTATCTGTATGCATATGTTATAAAGTTTAAGTGGTTTTAAAATTGAGTATAACCTTTTTGTGACAGGATCTTTCATAACAACTACATCGACAATATCACCCCACTTCTCGAAAAATTCTTTTAATGAATCATTTGTAGTTGTGTAGTTAAGTCCACCTATGAATAATTTCCTGAACTGTTCCGGTTCTTCGACATCTACAGCATTTTCTCCCTATTCGAAATCACACAGTAATTTAGACACAAATGAGCGATAAAAACGTTAAATAAAAGTATTACAAGGCAAGTCAAACTCTTACCGACACACTCATTGTACAAACGATCACGCAGATGGATATACACTGAGAAGAATTATAATATATTTTGTGACGATTAAATCGAGACCCGCGAAATGGCGGTAGAACGAAACTTCGATAGACAGAATAACGATTCACTGGTCGTGGGCAGACGCTTATCGGTTTGAGTAATTAGCTAGCCGCAGTAGGTGTCTACTACAGCGAATGTGCAAACAAATAAACAAACTATCGACCACAACTCACAAGTCGAGATCCTGCACCCTGAGCAACCGCAGAACACAACTCACGAGCAACAGCGTGGAAATGGGAAATTAAAATTCGAAACGGGTTCACCGCAACTAGCGCCGCGATTCGAAATTGATAGGTGATATTGGAATACAGGCAATACAGCGTAGTGTAAATAACTAAATACTGTAGTTGTAGATTGCAGTCCGTAGCACAGGTTGCCCTACAGCGACGGGCGTTGAAAGTTCGGGTTTGGATTTTTGGAACTCGGTCTCGGATTAGTGGGATTCGTATTGATAAGACGGACCGCTGAATTCAATTTTAATCAGTCAGTGCAGTAAGCAAACCACGGAAATGTGCATGAAAGAAACACCGGACTGGCAGACTGTAAATTGTGGTAGCGTCGCGCCNCTACTACACTGCAGTCGTGTAGCGCATGCGGACAAAAAAAAAAATAAACTCAATTCTGCCAACACGGAAAATCAAGAATCCCACCAACCTGGTAACCAATTTTTAACGAATATTACAAAATACAAGTTTATATTCCGGAATTTTCCAATTCTGTATTTATGTTTCGATCATTCGAAATTCGAATTCGAGTTATTCCTAGCATGCAGTGGCGTACCTGTGGGGAGGGGGGGGCGAAGGGGGCATTCGCCCCCCCCCGTGGGTCGTATAATTATATGTGACAACTGACAATATATGCCAGAAATGTCCATTGTTATATTTTTATTTATAGGACTCAATATTATTTTTAAAAAGCAATTGAATGCTTACTGCTTTTATACTTTCTACTGCTTCAGTACTTTAGTTTAAAAAAAAAGTTCTTTAATGTCAAACATTTACAGAACCTATTATTTATAAAGATAAATTAATAATCTACAAAATTGGCTTATAAATCTAGATACCTATACACCTAGTACCTACCTACTGCTGTCTGCTTTTTAGTTATTTATATTTATTATTTGCTTTATTTTATGCTTGTGCTGTAGACTAAAATCATGGCTACGTTCAAAAATGGGCCAGGATCGCTTATGTGGGCTTGCACTATTGCACATTTATCAGGAAATAAATATACCAGTGGATGAAATTATTGAACGATTTTCTCGTATGAAGAACAGAAAAATAGACTTTGTATTATAAATTATAATTATAATAAAATTATTTTATAGCATGCATTATACTATATTATTAAATTAAACAATAATTTATTTTTTATGTACCTATTAAAATGTTTTATTTCATAGGTATTTTACAAGTATGAAATTTCCGTTAGGTTAGATTAGCTGTGACGTACATTTTTAAGATACTTTAGGAATAGATAAAAATATATTTCGCCCCCCCCCCCCCGTTAGAGAGGCCTAGGTACGCCACTGCTAGCATGGCTACAAAAGTAATTAGTTATTGAGATTCTTACTGGTCAGCCGGGGTGTTTCCATGGGGTTTTCTACAAATACGCCCTCCTATACTCTCAAGATATTTTTACAAAATTATGGATTGTAGATTTTACTCCACATATATAGGGTACCTGTCCTTTACAGTCTAGCACTAAAACATCTGTTGAAAATAAGCGTCCTTCCCAAACACAAGAACAACTTTCTGTAGTCAAGCAGCATTGGAACTCTTAATTTTGGGCATTTGTAGTGAGTATCCAGTGCGTTTTAAAACTAAAATAATTTAGTAACACGCTAACACTTCAGCATCGCAGTTGACCTGTGGCACACCAAGTAACTAGGAATCCACGAACAAAAATCCGGTAAAAAAAGACCCGCGAAAAAAGTCCGGCTTATTTATTATCGGTTTAGTTTATCGTTTGTTGGCGACTTTATTAAGTTGGGCACCTTATACTATTATTATTTCCAGGATTTAGGTTTATAAAACATGTATATGAATGATAACAAATTTAGTCATTTTTGTTCGATGATTGATAGTTTGGCATTCCTACTCCTTGAACGGGTGCACGAAGGAATGGATTTTTTAAAACAAACAAGCATTTCTGAAGCGCATGGATTGTTGAGTTACTTTGACACCACATATGTTAATGGTTCATATAGGACAGTTGGTGCTGGTATGAACATAAAATTAAGAAAAACTAATCCCTTATTCCTACCAAAAACGTGGAATGTCTTTGAAGCCACATTAAATTGTGAACACTACAGAACTAATAATATATGTGCAGCATGGAACAACCGCTTCACACACTTGGTAGGTCATAGTCATCCAACAATATGGGTGCTAATTAAATAAATCAAGTTAGAGATTGGAGCCGATAGGGAAAAAATAGCATTAAGCAGTACAGGACAAACCATGAAAAAATCAAAAATGAATCAAAAAAACATCAGGCTTGAAACATTATGCAAGCGAATTCATAACTCCGAGCTAAAGTGTTGAAGAGTTTTTAACTCAAGTGGGACATAGTATTAGGACATTTCCAAGGTTATAGGCTAAGGATATAGATTTTTCATTCTGAATTCAAATGTAATAATTGTATTATAAATTATTGCTATTATTTTAAATAACATTAATGTTTTCTTGTTCGACATAAAATTTTATTTTTAATAATATTTAGTAATATTTTTATTTTTATTGTGCCTACCTATAATATTGATTTAAGTTTAAAAATGTATACTTGTATAAAGCCTCGTTCACACGGTGACAGTTGCATGACACCAGTGTCGTAATATCAACGAAATTAGATATACGACACTAGTGTCACGACACACATTATCATTAGTGTCATACTCATTAGTGTCACCGTGTGAACGAGGCTTAAGTATATATCTATAAATATGTATATATAAATAAACCGGACTTTTTTCGCCGGACTTTTAGGTAGAATACCAGTAACTAGAGATCTTAAATGCGAAGACAGAATGACACAATGACCTATAGACACCATCAGTCATCACTCAATCTCGATTATCGGTCTTAAAAATGATTAATAAACGTAAAGGTAGTCAGACCATAGTTATGAGTGTTACGACTTTATAAGTATTAATTATTAAGTCTATGAAGGAGGTTAAGAATGTTAAGATGCCTAACTGAAAAGTACCTAAGTAATAAAGATAAAGTTATTAAAGACTAAATACGTTTCATATTTTCTGGTTCAGGTTACTGTAAAACTAATCAACAATGCCTTCTCAAGAGCAGTGCCTTACCTTATTTGCGCAAGCTAAACAAATGAGACATTTGGGAACAAAATATGCAGTATTGCAGTCGAGTTTCCCCACGCCATTTTGAATTGCTACCATCAAAACTTATGTAACTTGCCGAGTTAAAAAACGTTGGTGAAATCAGAATTTGTGGCAACTTGTTTTAAAAATGATTGCAAAAAAATGCCAAATTTTGGATTTGTCAAAAAGTTACATCTACAAAATATGATAAAAGTTTGTTTTTAAATTTTTTTTTACGATTTATACGATGGTGTACTCAGAGTTTATATATCATGTTCTTGTTTATAATAATAAACCTATCCGCTTTAAAAGTTTTAAGTAGGTACACAAGAATAATATTTTAAAATTATAGCAATAAACTAAACCCGTTATTAATTTCGTATTTTTAAATCTAAGCTTTCAAATACTTATGGAATATGGATAATCTAGTATTACATTTTTTTAGTTTTGTCTAACATGCAAAAATCGAACTATCGACATTCATTTTAAAAAACTAAAAAAACAAATAAAAATGTCATGTCTCCAAATAGCTCAACATGAGTCAAAATATTTTGATAATGACAATGTTATAGTGTATAAAAAATGCTAATATAAATATCCAGTGAAAATTTAGTTAATTAATTTATAAAATTAGTATTATAGTTATTTAATTTATATTAATCTATTTAGTCAAAAATCGATTTTGTGTCAATCTCCTTTTTTTTTTGTTTTAAACGGCGCTTCTGAAAAATTTAACATTAAAGGAATAATCAAGTAAAAACTCAATAGCATTAAAAAGGAGATTTTTTTTATATTATTTTCAATTAAAATTCAAAAAAGTCAAATATTCATTTTATAAAAAAATCTTCATGTCACTTTTCAAAAAGCCACCAATCTGAAAAAAAATGAATACTCATTTTATTATTATATTAAAACAATACCTTAGACGTGAAATTAATATTAGAGTACTTAGATCGATCGTTGTAAACTTATAAATATAAAAGGGAGTAGAGATAACACACAATCCGTTGTGTTTTGTAATTTAAATTATTTTTTAAGTATCAAGTTATATCATGATATAATAATTAGAGAGGTTTTTAGTTTGTTTCAGTGTTTCTTTACTTTATGAAGCACAACAGTGAAAAATGTGGACGACTAATGCAGCACAAAATTCATTTTGAAAGTTTTTTTTTTATAAGAATCTATTCTTTTGCGGAATAATAAGCAAATGTGACAAAGAGTATTTACATTTGAATTGTTGAGGGAAGAAGTCGGCATCATACAAGGGTACAGAATGCAGAATGACACATTTTAATTTTACAAATTAGTGTACATTACTGGACAAATGAATTGACGAGGTATACAATTTAAGGATAAGATTATTATCTAGGGCATCTCAGAAACTGTAAAGAAGCAAGTTATCACCTTTTTGAAACTGTACATTTTAAAATTATTATAAGTTAAATAACTTAATTAATAATAATATCAATAAGAACCTTTGGATGCCCTATAATTTTAGTAAGAACGAGTCAAATTTAATTTAATTTACTAAAATTAAATAAGAAGTTGTAACATTTTTAAGAAACTAAAAATCGGTTAAAATGAAAGACAAGATAAAGTAATTAATTTGGTGTCACGCCATAGTTTTATCTAATTCATCAATTTCACTTATTGTTCAAAATTTATGAAACAGATTGTGGAAATATAAATTAAGTAATAAAAAAAAAAATTTGGTGTCAAGAAATGAAATTTTATCACATTCACAACATATAAATGTGTATTAAAGTCAATACCTCAATGATAAGATCTTCTTAAGTTCCGTAAAATTTCTATATTTTTTGGGGTTTTCCGGCTTATTCTTGTGGAAAAACTTATCTTCATGGTTTGACAAGTACGTGGAATGTACAGATTTTCAAGGAAGAAATTGGAGTGTAGTATTACATACTGACCAGTGAAGGACTCAGACTTTATTATGAGTGTTTATGTTATTATTCCGTATCCGTATCAATTTTTTTGTAAATCTTGAATAAGAGTAGATCTGAAAAATATAAAACATAAAATTGTGTTTTATAATAATTCAATTCTATTTTCAAAAAGAGTGACAACATAAGAATTTAAACTCGAGTCAACATGAGATCCTTTCCCATTTTATGTTTTTTTTTAATATTAATACTAAATAACAGGCAAAATAAGAGTGAACAAACAAAGCAGTGACATTAATGGTGAACAGTCAATGATAGAGTGCTTAGCTCAGCTGCGGTTAAGTCAAGTGATGATGCAATATTATCTAGAACATTCGCATTGAACTTGTTAAGGCTATAACTAATAGCGTTAAGAGGACAATACACGCTCATGCATTGTCCGTCTAACAAATTAATAGCGTGGTAAAATGTATGTATGGAAAAATCCATTTAACTCTGATATGTTAAATATTAGAGTGAATTGTCATATTATTAAATAAAAATATTTAAAAGCTCGTAGTGTTATTAAATGAGGAAAAATTTAAAAATAGAAATTATAAGCATAGCTCATTTAAGAATAAATCTCAAGTAACAACCAATTTTCATCCAGGTTCAATCAGATCACACCCTTTGATTAAAATAGCTTTTTAAAAATATTTTCTGAACACATACACAATCTAAGTTATTATTCATGTTAGACTTGGAACTTATCATTGATTCAAGTTATACCGAAAATGTCCTAGTTAATTTTAATTGACAACTATGTTTAACTTAGACTTGGGTTTTTTTTTATTAAATGCACTACAATGAAGAATCAAAATCCTTACTTCCTGTCAGAAACAGCGCAGAACATCGAAAAATATTTAAAAAAACATTCATGTTGAAATTCATCTTTGGATAGCCATCTTTCCTTCCTAATAAAAAGAAAAGAAAAACATTTCAGTATAAGCAAAAAAGGAGGGGTTCTCAATAATTTAATAAAAAATAGATGATAATATCCTTAGATCCCCTAATATGCAACAAATTTTGGTGTTTCAAGTCATCATTGGTATTAATAATAATTTTTAACATAAACTTTATATTTAATAATAACTACCTAGGTTCATGAATCTTAAAAGATTTTTTTGTACAAGAAAATGCAAAATAATGCCAAAATTTGTTGCTAAATAAGAATCCATTTGGGTAAAAAACATTAGCGTTTATACAACAAACCCTACAGGAAAATAAACGGTTTACCTTTAATAATTGGATGACCTACCTACGATTGACAATCGAGGTTTGCTGCCCTAAATTGAATCACCTATGTGGATTGACGAAAGCTTTAAATGCATTTGCTGACAGCTTAAGCCCTAACAGGCTAACATTCCTATGGATCATTTCTAATAAACCTAATTAAAATTCAATTTCGTTGTTTTTCAATCACTTGCACATAAAATATGTTAAAATGTATTCCATTAGATAGCATTAATTATATTCAAATTAAAATGCTTACCGGTGAATTAAAATACTTAGATTAACAGCAGTAGCTTGGTTATGAGACTAATAACTAATTCTAACTAACATTTTGAAGAAAAAAAAAAATTAAACAGGTAAAAACATTTAGTTCTGGAAGTAATATTATGTTTCTATTTTTTAAAAATGTATAGTAGAATAGAAAAAAAACTTAAATAATTTTTCTTCGTGTTCTCAACTGTCAAAAAAAAATCTCACAATACTCAACATATAGAATTATAAAATTTACATCATGTTTTGGGTATGTATAAAAATTGTAAATACACTGTCTCAAAAGAGAATAAACAATCAGCTGTCAGACTTTTGTCAATCTAGCGATCTCCCACCAACCACCCAATGTTTGCTTTATCATGTGACTTATAACACGTCAATTTACAATGTGGTAAAGGAAGAAAGTGATTGTTCTCTTTTGAGACAGTAGTGTCTAGGATCTTAAAACTAATTAACTTAAATTGCTTGATATTTTATGTTATTTTTCTTAAATCATTATGCAATTGATTATTATTTTAAGTTTTTTTGCTAAGCCTACTGAATACCAACCTTCTAACTTAAATGATAAAATATCAAGCCATTATTTTTAAAAAATGGACACCGAAGGAAAAATGTATAAAATATATTCATATATTATGATATAATATATTATATAAACTTACACACATACAACTTATGTATACATTATTATTTACTAACTAATAGATATTTAAAATGCATACCTTACCTATATAGTAAACAATAAAGAAACAGAAAAAGTTTTGTTACCTATGTAATTTGTTTTTTCAAAAAATGTCTCTTTACATTTAGAAGCTAAATAACTGGAAGCAATATAGGAGTTTTAAATAATTTCAAGGTATATTCACAGATTGTGTATTTAAAGCACAAAACAGAGTTACTTAATAAAGTTAAATAAACCAAAACACACAAAACTGAAATAATTAAAATGTAATTTTAAACATTATACAAATGCCCAGATTATTAATATAATTTCATAAATAAATATTTGTAGAGTTTATTGTTGAGATTGTAATCTTTATTGCAAGAAAAAATAATAACAATGCTATTGAATAAGTCCATTTAAAATAATTAAGTATAAATAAAAATGCTAATAACCTTTTAATTTGTATGAATCAAAAGACTAGTTAAAATCCAAATCAATCATTCTGAATTAACTACATATTTATTAAGACTAACAGTAATGAAATTATTTATAATATTAAGTAACCTATATCCTAATTTACTGTCATAATAAAAAAATTGTGGATACACAATTTCCTCATATACAAAATTGTTGAAAATATGTCAAATACTTAGGTAAGCTTCAATTAAAAAATACAAAAGAAAGATATAGTTGAGAAATATAAAAAGTATATTACCAATACAAAACACGTCATTATTGTACTTATTAGATAAATTTAATAAATTGAATGTGCAGTAGACGAGGATGAGAATGTATTTCAAATGACTGGCTCTTGTGTCATTATTACCCAACTCATGAACGGTTTTAAATAATACATAGAAATAACCGGTACGAGTTTCCTATTTTTGTTTATACTGCCTAACAGACTGCCTCCTCGGATCCTGCCTAACAATTTTCAAAAAATAAAAAAACCATTTTAAATTAGAATCCTAAAATATATCAACATTATAAAATAAATTTGGGTGCAATTTTTGGTATTACAGTTTTAACTTTGTTTACCTTTAGTTGAAAGTGATGTGTTAGTACCGTCGACCAGGATTTTGACCATAGCCAGCATTACCTGCATTTACATTACCAGCTCCTAAACAAAAAAATTGGTAAAATTAAACTTTGTAATTAAACATGTAATGAATCAATCAATATAATAAATACAACTACCTGGGTTTCCATAAGGTGTAGCACGGTTATTAGAGGTATAATTTGACCTCATTGGTCCACCACCACCACCGCCATAACTTTGATTTGGACCCCAGTTGTTACCTATAACATTCATTAAAATTAGACATCTATAAATATTTAAGTTTTTTTTTTTATAACTTACTGGGTTGTTGAGAACCTCCCCAGCTATCACCGCCGCCTCCTTGGTTGCCCCATGCTGGATTATTGTTACCCCAACTTTGAGGAGCACCGCCGCCACCTTGCCAGGCTCCACCAGAATTGGAGTTGTACCCACCTGCACTTCCGCCATACCCGCCACCACCTCCGCCAGAGCCATATCCTCCTCCCATTCCAGAATTTCCATATCCTCCACCTCCGCCATTTGATCCTAATAGACAAAAAAAACACAAGATAAAAGATAAATAACATATATATACTTAAGATAGTAATTTAACTTTATTTTTATTGCATATTTTATTTATAGAAAATTTCCTATGTGTAGAAGAGCCATCATGATTAGTTACTAATTAGTTGAAAGTATTTTAGATATATTTAGGTGTATCCAAAAGGTATTTATGTATTCAATATATATGAATCTTAAGTTAAAATATTCATGTACCTATTTAAAATTCATAATTACGAATAAATATATGCAAATTAGTTCTTAATAAATATATATAGATTTGTAATTACTGTTATGATGTCCTCCCCATTGTTCGTTTCGCGGATTTCCTCCCCAGCTACTTCTATTACCACCACCTCCTCCGCCACCGCCACGACCACCACGTCCACCTCGACCGCCACCAGCGCCATCACTACGGCTAATTGCTTTTTTCACATCCAATTTTCCACCAGCAACTTGGTGACTTTTGATCACTACATTTCAACAAACATATATTTGAGTTCTAATTTTAAGAATACATTTTAATGTATATTAATGTAACTCACAAACAGCTTTGTCAACTGAATCGGTATCATCATACTCAATAAATCCAAATCCTTTTCTTTGACCAGAATCTTTATCTGTTACTATTGTTACATTTGTGATATTGCCAAATTTTCCAAAATATTCAAGAAGATCATTTTCTGATTGTTCTTTTATACCAGAAACGAACATTTTTTTCACAGTAGCTGCGATATCTGGTTTATCAATATCCTAAAATCATAAAAATAAACATTTTGACATTTTTTTTTAAAATTATATGTAATAATATATAAGAGAAAATATTGGATAAAAATTCCATACGTCACGTGGTACAGCTCGTTTAGTTTCCACTTCACGACCATCTATTTTATGTGGCCTGTTTGACATGGCTTGATCAACCATAGAAGATTGAGAATAAGTGATAAACCCAAATCCTCTGGATCTAAATAATTGGACATTAAACGATTAATGAGTTCCTACAATAAGCACAACAAAATATAAAATTACCTTTTGGTTTGAGGGTCTTTCATGACGACAACATCTACAATTTCACCCCATTGCTCAAAAAATTCTTTAAGTGAATCATTAGTTGTGGTGTAGTTTAAACCACCAATGAATAATTTTCTGTATTGTTCTGGTTCCTACAGTAACAAAAAATACTTGGATTATGGTTGACATACAAACATTTTGTGTGAGCGGTTTTCAATGTATTAGGAAGGTAGGTACAAGTATGTACTTATTAAAGTAGTAAAACAATTGAAGCTATTGATTCGAATAAGGTAGGTTTTCAATGTATAAGGTTAGGTACAAGATTGATACGAATACGGTGTGTTAGCTTTACTTACGTCAGATCCCATGATTGATGTGGAAATTCGTAATACGAACAAAATCAGAAAAAGTAATGCAAATAAAACGGTAATCAAGTCAACTGAAATCAACAATTTCAATAAAGTGTTTTTAAGACTAATTTAATAGAATAACAATGAATGTTACAAAGAGAGAAATTCACAAACAAAAATGGAAGTCACACTCGCCAGACGGTGTTACGGTAAAACGAGTCAATAACTCGGCGTCGGAACGTAGGCGTCTGTGTGCGGTACACCAAAATGGTGGCCGGTTGATGTTGTATGACGCGGACGCTTGCAACAGTGTGAACAACTTAATTTTAAAACACAAACATTTCTCTTTTCCAACGGCGGTAAATTTAAACCATTTAATAATTACCTATTAGTAATAATATCGATTAATAAATACTATAGTATACCTAAACGACAAGCAGGGTTTCTATGTCCAAATGGACACACAGTTAAATCCCATGGACACTCAGTTGACGTAAAATTTGTTTACTGCGTGTACAAAACAGAAAATAAATTGTTGGTAGGTACCTACTAATGATTTACCAAAAATAAAAGGAAATATTTATTCTTGTTTTTTTCCTTGGTTCTTAGCGGCGCCAAGAATTTATCAGTTCTAAAATGCTAATGAGCAATTAATTTTACTTATCTTTCGGAGTATATGTAGTAAAAAAAGATGAGTGTTGTTTCTGATTGCAAATTGGATCAAAAGTAAAAAAGGTGGGCAAGGGGTACCCCTAAATGATATAAAATCATTGTATAAGAAAAACAATTCTTAAAGAAAGATTGTCAACGTATATTACCAAGAATATTTTATGATATTAGGTATTGCTATCAAAGTAATTTATTTTATAATAGATAATATGGTGTAATAGAGTTGGTTGATTATATTTTTTCTGAAAACATTGCATTTTAAAATGCCGATGTATGTATAAAATATAATTATTGTATACTATAAAAGATTCAAGTAGGTACCCTCAAATATTTTTTAGTTGCGACAAAATAACTGAAATTGTTATTCTTTGTTTAAATACCTATAATCTTACCCAAAAAGTTTCTATAAAAAACTGTGTTAAAACTGGTTCAATTTGTAGAGAATCAAAATAAATCCAAATAAATCTACCCACATAACCTTTACTCTACGTCCAGATCATAGTCCCCCCCCCCTAAGATCCTCAACAACGACACGATTCCCAAAACACAAGCCACCCGTTACCTCGGAGTCCACCTCGACATTAAACTCACATAGGCATATCACATAAAAACAAAAAGGAGATCAATCAATTTAAAACTCCACAAAATGAAACACCTTCTTAAATCAAATCTCCCTCTCAACACAAAACTCGTAATCTATAAACAAATTCTCTGCTTTTACGGAATACAGCTATGGGGTACCTCCAAAAATACACATATTTCACAATAACACAGTCAACCACCCTAACCACTCATTTCTAATCTCACCCCTCTCACTCACCCCGATAACTCACCATGTCGTCTAAAGCGAAATTGGCCCAGGGACCTACTCAATCAATAATAAAAAATTAAAATTAAATATTAAAAAAACATAAAAGTCTAGAATTGAAGTATAGTGTTGTTTGAACACCCCCTTCCATCAAGCCGTCCAGTTTTGTAAATGTATTATCCGTATTACCTACTTATTGTATAGTATAATATAGATTGTATATATAAAAAAAAAAAACTGTGTTAAATATTTTTTAGATTTTTTGGTTAGGTACAATATAAGCTGCTTATGAAGAACTTTATTTAAACATTTTGAATCCTGGCTTATAAAAATTGAATATTTTATAAATTTGAAACTACAGTAAATAATTTTCAAATTGTTCTGATTTTTATGAATTTTTTCAAAAATGAACCTAAAATGCCTAGAAACCTAGAAAAAAAATTGTACCAATGTATCTTTAATATTTTGAACTGTTTATGAGTTATGAGGAACCTTGTATTAAATTTCCAAAATTTTTAACATATCGAAAAGTTTAGTATAGATATCATCAGAAAAAAAATTAAAAAAAGTTGAAAATCGAAAATATATATAAATACCTTTATGAGTCGAAATATTCTTGAAAATAAAAATTAAACCGTATATTTAAAAGGTAATATAAACATTTCAAGTATCAATGGTGAATCAGTTTTGAATTACAAAAAAAATAAGAATATCATTAGTTTAAGTGTAAAAACTTAGAGGAAGTAGGAACTTAAAGTAAGTACAAACTTCTAACGCTCATTAGTTGTTAGTTTTTTTTTTAAATTACACTTATATAGATAAATGTAAAGGGACCTTTTATTACATTTCCAGAATTTAAACCAAGCAAAACTGGTAGAAGACTGGTTTTGTGGGTATCTAATAATTCCCCATTTTCCACAATTTTTTTTTTTTTTGTTTTTCCTGAAATTTGAAAAATACTGAGATTTTTGATTTTGACTTATCGAAAGTAATAATTAGATTCACTTTCCCACCAGAAGAGATACATTAAGTTGAAAATTGAAGCAATATTTCGGCTACCTGCTTATTGTGCGTATAGAATATGACAGGTGTAAAAAACACATTGTAAAATCTATACTTTCACTTGCACTCAGAATCAAGAAACTTGAGGTATAACTCAAAAATTTACGCAACACCAGTTTTTGACAAGACTCATTGAGTTTTTATTGTTATTCAAAAAACGAATTAAAGTACTACTGTAGAGACTTGAGAATGTTCACACAAAGGACAATACTTATAATTATATTTGTTTTCTAGACATGATATGACTTTTATAACAAAAAATTCTTTGGTTATATCTAATATCTATACTGAATACAAAATTCATTTTACAGAAATTTAAAAGCATCGAAAACATAAAAGTATGATTTTGTTAACAGGAATTTGAAGAATGAATTTTAGCAATATTGGATATTAAAATAAACAATTTTAGTTGGTTTTTGTAATTTAAAGATATTTTAGTCACTTAATTTAGACACTTTTTTCATAAGGTACTTATATTATTATTTGTTATGAACGAAGCAATTTTCAAAAAATTTAGTTGAACTTTGAACTATTTAGTATTTACACATTTTACACCATTCTACTGTATTTATTTTACTATTAGACATTTAGATTTCAGAATACTGCCAATGCATTTTAAATTACAACCAAACGCGAAGTAAAACTACATAATACTGTGTGTTATTCTGCAGATATTAAATTACCTGATATTAATTAAAGAAACTTGGTTTTACATTTGATTCAGTACCTAGATTGTAGGTATATACTGCTTAGGTATGTACAATGTTCAGGTTATAACTTAAAAGATAGACAAATAATTCCATTGTAAATACAATGAATTTATCTATCATACAAAATACTTTAATATAAAATATTTAATTATGTTTTAATCAAGAATATACAAAATATACTGCTTATCTTTAACAAATATTAGCATATTCTAAAATAGAGTGAACAAAATAAAAATAAAACTGTAAGTACCAGAATATTAAATTAAGATTGTACTTTCATCAGTACATAAGACATGTTTTTTAATTCCAAAAAAATAATTTTTAAAACATTATTTAAGTTAAAAGTTTAAAACCAAAAAATATTTCACTTGACACGGTTTCCAAATATATTATATGAACTAAACTAAAATCAATAAATTATAAAATTAATAATTTTAGTAGTTTTTTTTATAATTTAATTTCATCCGCCCAAGATAAAAAATATTCAATCTTTTTCAATAACAAACGTACTTTCTTAATGTCAACATGTATTAAATAAGTGGCTTTAGCATCAGGAAACTTTCTATTAAATTCACCTTGTTCTGTTTTTTCTGCAAACAAAATAATCAAAATATAGAACACAAATACAATTTTGTTGCCTAAATTATGTTTTAACATACTCAATGAAATATTTTTTTGCTCATTTTTATACATTGTCAGTAAATTATGTATATCAGACAAAGCTAATTTTATGTTATAATTGCAGTTGGAATCTAAGCCATTACTAAATATTGTTTCCAAGTCGTTATTTATGAGAATAAAACCTTCTTGAGAACCTTTAAACATTTCATGCTGAAAACCAAAATAGTATAAAACATAATAGTTATCTGAGTATTCATTGTTGGTATGATTAATTAACTAAAAATTATTTATTACCTCTTGAATACTAAGCTCAACAGATTTGACAGCTATGTCATAAGATTCAAAATTCTGATTAAGAGATAGATTTTTTGACAAATTATAAAGTCCGTTGATGAATTCTGATAAATATGATTTATGTTTTCCATTATAATACCGAATCAAAAACACATATGGAGTAATTATATTGACTAAATTCCATTGAATGCAGTCTGATGGAGATTTTTTCTAAACAAAACATTTTAATTACATTACAAGAACACTAAAGGTTGATATTTAATCAATAGATATTAACCCTTTGAGGAGTGAATGAAGAATACAATACTGTTACTGAAGGAGATGATTAGGAATGGAAAATTAAATTTTTTTTTATTAATTTAGGAGCAATGACGTATACATACACCCTAAATGTAATAAATGTTCTAACTTATAATATACATTGGTTTATAAAGTGAAACCTTAGATCATAATATACTATGTGTTGAGCCATAAATATTAAATAAAGTTAAAATGTAAATGAAAGTAAAAGTAATTCAACAACAATTATTTATTAATTATTGTTTTAATAACAAGTATATAAAGAGATACTTACTGAAAGTATAGACAATTTTGGAATGTTTGTTATTAAAGTTGGGATCTCACTATCATTAATATTTTTACCAACTTCAGATACTAATTGTTTTTCAATCCTATGATATAATAAAATTATTAATTTTTGATAAATATAAAAAGATTAATTTAATAGTTTATTTACGGTAAACACCACCAAGGAGTAAACTGAGGTAGAATTTTTGAGATATCACCAGACTTAACAAGGTGTTCAAATTCTGCTTTTTCTGAATCGGTTAAATAACTCCAAACTACATCGGCATCATTTAGATCAATTCCATTCAATCGGTCATTAATATCTGTGAATTCTTCATCATCTGAATCACTTTCTAAATCAAATAAGTGTATATTTAAATAATATTTAAGATCAAATTTGTCATTTTTATTATTAATAAGAATTAAATTATACATAATATGCAGTATAACTGATATACTTAGTAGTGTTCAATATAATATCAAATAACAGAATACAGTGATTTCAGAATTTAAAAACAGA